CTAACATCCACCAGAGGCTCCAGCAGTGAGTCAGTCCCCACAGACTCCCATGTTAAAGTTTTACAGCGGAGATAAACATGTTTACAGCCTGATACACAAACTGTCTGGTCTCTACAGTGAGAATTTAAACTCACCTGTTTAAATGGTATGATGGCTTAAAATGTGCGTTATTAAGAGCATGGCCTCTTTGACTGACAGGTGGATAGTGACACAGGTAGCTGTAGCTGCTAGCTGTCTGCTAGCTTCACCTGAACTGGACCGGGCTCTTACTGCATCTGACCAATACTATGGCTGCTGTAAGGCTACTGTACTAAAAGGGCGATTAGCAGGTATCTGAGTCTGTGAATCTCCCATATCATCTGTGGAAAAGTTATAACTTCATGGTGGCAGCTCAAACTTTAGCTCTGTGGCTTTAAAATGAAACTAGTCAGTTGGGTCACAGGTCGAGCTTTTATATAAATTCTGCATTAGAGTCAAATATAAGATTAATAAGGACAGTTCGGTATTTAACATAATTACCTGTAAATGAAAGGAGGCGACTGAATTTGAAAGGAAGTTGCGCAGATTTGCAGAAGTTTGGATGAGAGGCGAGTTTCGGCGGTGCTTGAATCCCAGAGAAGGAAAGACGGAGGTTTAACTCAGCCACCATGAGCGTGGATATGAACTGACTGCTCCCTGCACCGGCTGTCTTGCTCAGTAATTGTTTGCACAGCGCTCAACACGACTCCTGCTGACCTTTAATTTCAGACTTTGCAGTGGAAACGTGCAGATCGGCGGCCCTCATTTGCCTTGTCGTGTTTGTTCTCTGTGTCTGTGTGTGTGTGTTTATTTATTTATTTTTCTCCTCTCTGCCTGTTGGCGTGTGATTTACACTCCGGGCATGTTCGAGCGAGCCGTGTGCCATCGATACTGTTTTTATTACACCTTGTGCCAAGTGCTAACAGCCGGATACGGGCGGCGCTGACGAGTGGATGCAGCCGCAATTAGCATAATTGAAATAATAATGCTAACGAGCCTTCTGAGTGGAGGCAGAGCAGAGAGGAGAGGGTGGCGATCGGCTGCGTGGACGGGCCGCTGCAGATCATTGTGTGTAATTGGGATAATGGGCTGGTTTAGTGGGGGAAACGATGCTTTTGATGGCGTTCGGGATGAAACAGGTGCCAAATTCACCGAGCCGCTTGTCTCGGTGTTTGTTTGCTTTAAAATCCATATTTATGTCAGCTTCACAGCGATATTAAACACCAGCAGGTCTGCAGGCTTTGGGTTTTATGACTCCAAAAATGTGCTTTTATTTAAGTTATATCTGAGAAAAGTGTGCAAACGCCCCAACGACTGAAGTGTGACAGGGATTCAGACATCCCAAACCGATGCCCTCCTGCTCTGCAGTGTCTTTGCACACTTTGAAAATCAGATTAGACTCAGCGTGGCTGATTCAGGCCTCATCTTGGTGCGTGATCGCACAGGACGCCTGTGTTCAGAAACGGACTCGATACCAGGCTCCGTTTTAATGTTGTGGCTCATCAGTGTATGTTTAATTTACCCTGTCATTTGAAGTCAGAGGTAACCTGTCCGTAGACCATCACTTTCCATCACTGATGAACTTCTGGTGTTCATCCAGGTCCAGATCAAGGAACGTGTTGCTGTGAGAGGGGCAAACGTTTCAGATGTAACTCCATAAAATATCACAAACTGATCCAGATCCAAGAGTGGAGGAACTCTCTACCCTTATTCTATCAGGTTTTCAGAGATCACAGCAACCAGGAGACAGAAAAATGAACTATTGACATTAAACCCATTAACACCAAAGGCTTCAAAGGCGCTTTTACTGAGAGTTTAACAAACCTTTGAATTTGGCCCTTTGCCTTGTTGGCTGCTGGCCTGTTGGAGACTCTGTCCCTCAGTGATTGTTGCAGTTTGAGTGTTTGTGAGCACGATTACTCTAAAAGCTTTGGACAGGTTTGCATGGGAATGACTTGGAAAGGAATAACTTTGAGCTGATCTGGATTTATCTCCAGGAATTTTTCGAAGGGTCGGAGTTGGATTTTGACAGTCGCCTTTTGTCATCCATGCTATTCGTAACGTCTACGGACAGAATCTCTAGGCGTAGAAAAAGTGGATGGTCACCGGTCGAATGGTGTTTTTGCTGATGATATGAAGGATTTTTAGCTTCCTAAAAATGAGCTTCCTCTGAAATGGTGCCGGGCACCACCTTAGAGGACAAGGTGAGGCGCTGAGCCGAGCTGCTTCTCCATGCTGAAAGGAGATAGCGGAAGTAGTTAGGGAAGGAGGCCCTGGGACAGACCCAAGACTCGCTGGAGAGATCATTTCATTTCCCCCTCATCCCCATCCGGTACCAACAGATCGCTGCCCCTCCTGTGCCTGGTTTTGTTAGAGTTTTCTTCCTGTTAATAGGAAGTTTTTACTTCCCACTGTCGCCAAGTGCTACTCAAAGTGGGTCGTTTGATATTTGGGGTCTTTACCTTATAATACAAAGCGCTTTGAGGTGACTGTTATGGTGATTCGGTGCCTTATAAATAAAATTGAAGTGGATTTAATTTATTCTCTCCTGGCTGGGAAAGCCTGCTGGGGAAAGAGGGTTTGGGTATCTGTGCTTTGGCTTCTGCCTCCATGACCTGGAGACCAGACTTCACAAGTGAATGTCCACTGAAATACAAGCAATTGGTACTATTATCAGGAACTTGGGGTCCAGGAAAGTAAATCAGACTCAGTTTTCTCCATCTTCATGTGAAAACTGACAGATAATCGGTTTTGTTTACTGACTCGTATCAAACACGGAGCCTGTTTGTGGGCTTTCGATGCTGTTTTATTGTTGAAGGATTTATTTTTTCGCTGTGTTTCCAGCGTAGCTCCTGTCAGGTGTATGAAAATAGAAACATGGATAAAAACAGATGCTTGTGGAGTTTTTTCCTTCTCTCGGGATCTCATTGAAAATATCTGTCGGTGAACGTGTTGAAGACTTGCTCGCTGTGATTCCTCTTGGTGTTATTTTTACTTTAACACTGTTGTGTTTTCTGACACTCAGCTGCTCTTATTCCCACCGAGCCCCCCTTAAAACCTGACCGACACACACCTGAGCTGCTCCTCCTCCTCCTGGAGTTTCTCTGCAGACTCTTCACTCGGCCAAACGCTGCGAGTTGGAGGAATTAGCTTTCAACAAACTGGCCTACAAATGAGGCATTAAGCATTGGTAATGGGGGTGCAGAAAGGTCACGGCTGTATTAATCTGCCGTCTGGGGAATACACCCGTGAGCCGGGAAGCTCGGAGACCGAGAGAGAGCACGGGCGAGCTTCCAAAAACAAACCCTGAGCATGAATAAATATTTATCTGTGCCCCGGCGATCATATTGATCATAAAGCGTTTTAGGAAACAAAACGAGCAGGAAAATGAGATTGATGTAAAAATATTCAGCTGCTGTTTGGAGCGTCTCCCCCTCGGACACATCGCGCTTCTGTGGGCTGAGAGCAGAGGTCTGTTCCTGCTGGAGCATTGATTTTATTTCAGGATCAACAAGGATTTTTTTTCCATACCAAAATAAAATCAGCCGCTGACACTGTTGATGTTTTTGCAGCTTTCACACTCAGTTAAAGGCTTCCTCAGATTCTGGAGGTTGGAAATCAAAAGCAGGGTGACCTCTGACCCCCAGCCGGTGGTTGTTTACATTATGATAATCAGCATTAGAAGCAATACTCTCGGTAATGATTTCATTTCTGCCTCCCTTTTTATTGAAATGTAACAAAAAAATAATTTAACATAAAAATTTGTTTGTTCTTTTGTTCTTTAGAGTTTAATTTGCTGCCTTTAAACTCATTTATTTAACCTCTTCCTGCAGCAACAGTTTATCATGTGACTTTGCATCTCTTTATTTAATGTTAATGAAAGCAGAGGAGACGCCACATCCCAATATCTGTAAAAGCAAAGATTAATTATAACCTTGTGAAGGCCAGAAAACTCACATCACCCTATTTTTTATTTATTTATGTGTCCGGGTTTATTTGTAAAACCTTCTAAATCTAAATAATAAAATGGCAACGCATACCACAGCGTCTGTGATTGGTCCGCTTTGTGGTAACGTTGCGTGTATGACACTGTGTGATGATCAGCACAAAGACATGGTCGCTGATGTCGTATCAGGCGTGTCGTTCCCAGTCAAAGCGTCTCCTGCGTTGGATTAATGTTTTTTGTTTTCCCCCAAAAACTCCTGAGTGATCGTTCTCGCTGTCTTTCACAGCGACTAATCTAAACCACGCAGCAGCACATTAATGACTAACCTCACGCTGATCATGTCTCGTGTTTTCTTGGCTTTAGTTTGATCCATTTTTGGCATCTTCTTCCTGTCATATGATGGCGTTTGTCCCTGACCAATAGTTTAACCGTCATCCTCCGTCTTCACTGTGCTAATGTGTTCATATTACACTAACTATAGCTCTGTAGCTAGCCACCATGTTTCTCACCATTAACCATCACTGCTGTACATTTTAGTTCTTTAGAAATACTTTGGACAGATTACGGTATATCGTCATACATGGAAGCTAGCTAGCTAACTGCTTACTAACCTCCAACTGCTAAGTTGACATATAGGACATGGTAGTAAACACATGAAACCGGTTACCTTGACATCCGGATCTTGGATTGTCCACTAGTGACAAACCGCCACCTTCAAAGGGAAGCACCTTAGTCATTCTGATTACAGAAGAAAGAACCAGTTGTAAACCATTAATGTTGTTTTCAGTAACTGAAGCCACTTGCCCAATGTTCACACATGATTATGTCCACTCTGAAGATTTGGAATTCATTTCGTTTAATTCTTCTGTTGTTGAGCTTTTATTAACTCCAAGTCAAAAATGATCATCCCACTTTTAAGGTGCCCACCACAGCAACACGGGCCTATAAATCAATATGAATCAATTCACTGTGCTGTCCAGATTAGTGTGTGTGATCCTGTTGAGTTGGAAGGTAACGTTTTCTTTCTCTGTTTCAGTGGGGTTGGTTTAGCCCGAGCTCACTTTGAGAAACAGCCTCCATCCAACTTGAGGAAGTCCAACTTCTTCCACTTCGTGCTGGCGCTGTACGACCGTCAGGGTCAGCCGGTGGAGATCGAGAGGACTTCCTACGTGGACTTTGTGGAGAAAGACAAGGTGAAAAGATTTTTTATTTCTTCAAGAATCTTCTTCAGATTTTAGGTGTTTGTTTTTTTTTTAATTTACATCTTTGACAGGAAAAGAAGAGGTCAGGTTTTTAGGCTTAAAATTCTAAAATACCAGGAAAAGATCTAATTTGTAGTAAATGTTCCTACCTTTCATACATCAGAGGCCCATGTCAGGTAATGTCCCCTTAATTCTTAATCTTAAGCAAAGCTCTTATGGAGAAAAAACGAAGGAAGAGAACAAAGGATGAAAAGAAATCTAACAGGACTACAAAATAAAGCAGGAAACATGTTAATGATTAACAGTAAATAACAAGAGCCCAGTGCATGTGGTCAGAGCAAGACTTACAGGGAACGATTTTAAAGTAACACAGAAAGCGGTCCAGAGGTTTTTTGAATTTTGAATCGGGTATTGTTTTATGTTTTATTTTGAAGGTTTAACTCTGAAAACTGCCATGGTACTTTTTTGTAGTCAGAAGTGACCATGTTTGGACGAGAGGGTAGAGCTAAGTTAGCAGCTAAGGCTAGCTAGCTTAGTTAGCAAGCTTCATTCATAGCTTCACACTCAGAAACAGATACCTGCTAATCAGTATCATCCAGATAAAATCTTACAATTTCTCTAAAACTGGAACTCAGACTTCTTGGACAGTCTGTTAGTACAATTAAACGCACAGCATCATTTAAAGTTCGACATTTTAACATGCGAGTCCGTGGAGACTGGCCTTCTGCGGAAGCCTCTAGAGGACACTAGGGGAACTGCATCTTTTGACATTTTCATTAGTTTTATTTTTTGATTTTTAACATTTAAATTACACCCATTGAGCTGGTGATCCAAATCTGTGATGTCTGTGTTTTCTGATCTCATGCTGCCCTGTCAGCTGGATACAGAAAACCTCAGTTTTAATGTGACTGTTGGGTTTAATGAGCCCCAGTAACAACAATGAAATCCTGGTTATGTGGAACTTCATCTGTAAGACGGGTCCCATGTTGAAAGAGAATGTTTTGGCAGTTAAAATGAAGTGTAAATATCCAAAAATACACAAGTTTGGATCTGTTGTTGACAATATACAGAAAGTACATGAGAATCGCTTCCGCTGCTAATAACACTGGTGATAATCATAATAACATCCCGACAGGTTTGTGGGTGTTTGTTCTTTGATCGGCTGCCAGCTGGCACCATATTCTCCTCTCTACCCACTCGCTCACCTCACCTCTGCTTTGACCTCGAGTCTCTCGCCCTGATACCCCCCCCCCAACACAAACACACTGGGACTGAGCCAACACTCCCGGGCACAGTTGGCACCGAGTGGCCGACCAACGCAGGCTGAAAGGAGGGAGAGCGAGGAGGGGAGGCATGATAAAAAAGGGGAGTAAAGGTTGAAAGAGAGAAGAGAAGAAAAAGATAGGAGGAAAGGTCAAGACAGAAAGAAAAGGAGAAAAGAGGCGGATGGATGGAGAATAAAGGATGTTTTTAACTACAGAGTCTGAGGCACAGATTACCTGACAGTTAAATGCATGTTTAGGCGTAATTAGAAATAAAACCCTAAACTTTTCCTTCACACAGGTAAGAAAGTGATCAGAGAGCTGCGGAGGTCAGGTATGGCATCACCTGTCCTGTCGACGAGACCTCCAAAAACATTTCAGAGTAAATTTCAAAATAAAAGCTTAAACTCAAATCTGTTATTTTCCTCATAAAACAGTGATGCTTGGATGCAAATGATGGGTGTGAAATGCATTCTGGGACGTGTCCTGATAACACAGAGCATGAACGTCTTCTAATCTGACTTTATTGGAGCTTTGTGTTCGTTTCAGAGGAGCATAGGGATCAGAGAGGTCAAAGGTTACAGGGAGTGTCATCCAGCTGCTAGCTTAAATTAATTTCAGCTTATTGTTTTTTGTGTGTTGTTTGGTTTTGATTTGCTTGGAGTCTTTTGCTTTTAGTATTTGGTGTGTTGCACTTGACCAAGTGTGTAAACACCTTTAACTGAGAGAGTCTGGTTAGACTGTGGTTTGGTGGCGGTGCAGACTCTTTTTTTTTTTTTTAGCTTTTACATTGCTCTTCCTTACTCTTTGACAGGAGCAGAAAACATGAATAGCAGGCTAATATGATACCTAACAGCTCTAATATTTGGGAAAAGGACCATGGGTCCTCTGGACCAGCTTTTGTTGACAACTTGTCATGTTTCACAGCTCGGTGAGCTCAGCAGAGGCGTCCTTTTAGTGGCTTTTACTTCAACACATCATCAATCATCATCTGCTTTTCTTAGGATTTCTAAATAACCTTTCTGTAATACTTTCTTACATGTCAAATGCACAGTCAGGATGTCGTTGTTTAACGTGTACTTTGTGTTTTTGTGACAGGAGTACAACGGTGAGAAGACCAACAATGGAATCCACTACAGGCTACAGCTCCTCTACAGCAATGGTGAGCCGAGTGTGTGAATATGCCACTGATCTGGAATCAGAGGTGGAAGTCTGTATAAAGAAAAAGGGTTGAAAATGCTTTCTGTAAGCTGTAAACATCCTGCTAGCGAGTCATTTTTGAAGGTAGAAAAAGAAAAAAATTACAACTTTTTCCTCACATATTTACTGTCAGAGTTTTTCCGTTGCCTCCTCCTGTTAACTGAACCCTGAAGAAGATTTTCCTGTTTTTGTTTAGTCCGTTTGTAGCTCCTGACTCTGAACCAGGGCTTCTTCATTAGGACTGGTTTCCAGTTGCACTAAACCAGTTTGCAGAAAACTGCAGCGTCTCTTTATTTCAGGTCCAGGTGTCTCTTGTGTTGGATGAGGCTCTGGTTTTTTCTCCTTTATTTTTCTGTACAGACGAAGTTTTTAAACCCTCTTGGTGTAACTGCAGCTCACAGGCTCCTGGTATCCCCGACTACTGATATCTATTCAGAATAGAATCGCTCTCAGATTTCAGTGTGAACACTAAGTTTAGCATCAGGACTTCACAGTAACCCAAACCACACAGCAGACTAATTAATGACTAACTTCGTGTTTTGGATGGATCAGAGGTTCTTTGGCTGAAGTTTGGTCTATTTTAGCATTTTACGTCAGTGCTGTTTAGTTTTAAAACAAAAGTCCAAAGTTATATCAGAGCAATAGAGTTTAGTTTAAAGAAATCCTTCAGTCAGATTAGGTTGTACCATCTGTAGAAGGGACTAGCTAGCTCACTTCCTGTTAATGTCTAACTTTGCTAAACCTTGTACATCCTGTTTTTCAAAAAGCCACATATTGATCAGTTTATTGGAGCTGAAAGAATTTGGAGTTTGATTTTAGGAGTGTTTGAAGCAGGAAAGAGTTAATGAAATCAGACCAGAGGCAGAGAGGATGGTTACAGAGGCGGTAGAGACAAAGACAAGAAGTAAAAAACAGCAGGAACAAACGGGTTTAATAAATCCCTCTTCTGATTCGTCATTCTTTGTAACATTTACGTAGGCAGAAGGCTGTCACGTACTTACGGTAAGCGTGACGGCGACGAAATTCAGTAGATCTAGTGCAAGTAAGACAATCATGTTGCAGAAAGAAGCGTCTGCCTTTCGCAGCATGTAAAAAAGCTACAACGAAAGCACTGATGATGCAATCTGAGGTCAAAGCATAATGGAAATAATGCCAATATTTCTGCTAATTCTCAATGTTCGTGATGAGTAATGAAGGCAGATGTGAAGCAGCCCGCTCTGCCAGCATGCTGCAGGTTGTTTAGGTCCAAGTCCAAAAACCCATCAATAATATGTTCCTTACACTGGAGACACATTTGCATGTGCTGTGCTCTTAAAGAATGACTGACAGCATGAAATTAAAGCCGAAGTGAGCCATTTTTAAATGCTGCTGCTGCTGCAGGTCAGCCGAGTCTTTGTTCAGGCTGCATTTTAGATTTGCAGTATTGATTGATGAAGTCGAGTTAATGATCGCTCTTTCCCACAGGTGAAACTGTCTGTGTTGGTTTGCGGTTGAACTTTTCCTGGATGATTTAGAGTTTAGAATTAGCAGAGATGGAATTTATATTAAAGGTCACCTCACCGGAGTTAGAGTTTAACTCAGCTGTGCACTTTTAAGACTGCGAGGCTGGAAAAACTTTTTCATTATCAGCACGCGGAGCGGCGGACATCTGGAATATCTGAGCTCTGTTTTGTCCATCGGTTGGTGGTGGTGGTGGTGTGGTGTGGTGTGGGGGAAGTGGAGGGATCTTTTGCTGATTCAAAACACACAGCTCGCCTTTGTGCTGGCACGAGTCCAGAGCTGCAGGAGGAGGGCGGCCGTAATGCTCTCAGACCCCCGCAGAAACGCCAGATAAAGTGGGACATAAAAGAGCGTTTTCTTCCAAAGGGGGATAAATCACTCTAATATGAGTCGGCGTCGTCGGATTAGCATCTTACAGAGGTAATTGACCTCATCTGCAAGCGGGACGGATAGCCGCCATTTAGGCTGCAGACTGCTCAGCGCTCAGCCGCAGAGCGAGGAGTGAATCATGTCAATTAGAAAGCAGAGGAAGCTGCGAGCAAACGGCCCGCAAAGCAAGAAGTAGAGGGAAAAAAAGCTCAAACGCACAATACAATTAGAGCTGCTCCGCCGCTAACAGGTGTTCCCTGCAATTTACTTCCTCCACCCCATGTCGTGTTTGTGTCACATTTACGCCCGGATGCATGGCTAATAAAAGACAAGCAGCTCTGATTGATATTTAATTTGTCGGAGAATGAGGATTCCTTGTTATCCTTGAGGAAAAAGGCGGCGGGGGGGCCGGAGAAGGCGGCCTGGCCCATAAATAATAAACAGCTCTGGAGCAGCGCCGCTGTTTGTTTTTGCTGAGGGGTGTGAGCGACGCCGGGGCGAGACGACAAGAGCGCTAGAAAACACAAATACACAACCAGGACATGAATCGGAACAGAATTCATTTACAGCACGTTATCAGGAATCAGATCCTTTGTTGGGGGCGGATTAGCATAAGAGGCAAACGCGGGCATGTTGATGACAGTAATTTATATCTGAACTGTGTGTGTGTGTGTGTGTGTGTGTATGCTCATGCTTCTCTCTGTGTGTTTTTCAGGCATCAGGACAGAACAGGATCTCTACGTCCGGCTCATAGACTCCATGACCAAACAGGTGAGATAGCGCACGCACACCTGAGCTCTGATTCACTCATAGTGTTTACATCAGAGTGAGTTTGTTTTACACACCTGCACATGTCACAGCGGCGTGTTTTAAATGTCACACAGCGTGTTTCTGCACAACGACGTGCAGCCTGGAGACTGCCTGGATCGAGCCCCAAAGCCCAGATTAGTTTGACTGAAATAAATCACAACTGGGAAATATTTTAGTGGGCTTGAATAGTCTTACAAACATCAAGCAAACAGTTGCATTGGAGTTTTAGAGTCGCTCTATTTCAAGGTAGTTTACGGTGAGTAGAAGAAACGTCTCGTGAACACGACTCAAAATACAATTTTTCAGAGTCGTTTGATATTTTTCGGGAAACCATCTTAACCAATCAGAGCCTGTCTTCTGGCTGTTTCTAAATATTACCTATAGAAGGTTGGTAACCCTTGTGTTGTCCTCGGTTCAAAAATGGTCCCTAGGTGAATGGCAGACAAGAATATGGGAATCCCGAGGGTGACACAAGGTTATTAATATCTGTAGATTTTTGTACTGGTGGCTTTGAAATTCATCCCAAATACAGTTTGAGTTGTAGTTTTGAAGCTATGATGCAGATCTTATAGAGGTAAAACCCTTTGAGGGATTCCTGGATCGACTCCAATACTGAATACCTTAAACTGTGCCATTTTCTTGCAAGTCCTTCCCAAACTTTATGACCAATCTCGGTCAAAAATAGACAAACTAAATAAATCAGATAATATTGTCAGAGGTGGTAAAAAAAAAAAGGGTGAAAACATACATCAAATGAAAAAAGAATTAGTGGGCAAAGAACAAAGTTGAGTTGTCAGAGTAAGAATACTGGAGTAGGTCAGACGAATGCGTTGGATCGTTGAATGTTCCATGGATCAGTCGAATGCCGACTGTCAAGATCAAATCAAATCTGTTCTTTCAGTGTGGAACACGATTGTTCTGATATGTCGCTGAGTTACTGTTAATGGAAATCATCCAGAACCATCGGAGCAATCAGCACAACAACATGATTGGCTCTTTTGTTTCCGGTGCGGTTGCTCTTTGGTTCTTTTGTGGACGGGGGCAGGACGCCATCTTTGGCTATGCAGGCATCTCCTATAGATTTGTACTAAGGATTATTCATGTGTTGTGTCTGCCTGATAGTGTCCCCGAACGCGTAACAAACAAGACTTCTCTGCCGGTTTCAGGCACATAGTTCAAACCTACTGTAATCTTAAAGCGTTCCCCTAAAGTTAAAACTAAACTTTCCTGTCCTCCTCCGCCTCCTCCTTACTTTCTTAAACTTGAGCAGCACTGATGTGTTTTCCTTTCCACTCGATGTAGCTCGGGCTTCAGCTGACTCCACGTCCTCCCATCTTTCCGGTTTTCACTCACTCAGAAACCCCCGTGTGGGATTTGAACCTGTGAACGACCTCGCTGCCAACAAAAACCTCCAAATGTTTCCACATTCCTGTCAGCGCTGCCGGCTGACCTCCCTCCTCGTTCCTCCAGATCCTCCTGTTCCTCTCGTCGAGCGCTCTACCTCAGATGTTTGTCACTGTAAATATTAAAAGACATCCAAATGTGCTCGCTTCTCCTCCCAGCTTCAGCTTATTTATCCCCCGTCATATCACAACCCTCCCGGCTGCCGCGGCCCTGTCGGCATGTCACCGATCGATGTACCAAGCGGCTCCCCGACAAAGCGTCAGCCAAACCGATCAATAGGCCCTAATGTGGCGCAGCGGCGGCACACTGGAGACAATAATCCTGACACCTCCTCCATGACACACACACACCTTCACCTCCCAGTACACGACACCCCATTGGTGGAGAGGCAGGCCTGACAGACAGGTCGGCTGGAGTCCCCATGGATCGATAAATCCCCGTCGAGGAGCTGTTAGGAGCCCCGCGTCCACGGGTTTGTCAGAGCGAGGAGGAGCTGCATTAATGCAGATTGGACCGTGCAGCGATGCAGCTGGCACAGTAACTTCTGCACAGTGAGTCACATCATGCAACAAGGCCGAGGGGCTCACACACCGGGAGACCCCCGCGGGAGGTGTTTGTGCTCCTTTTGGAAAATATTTCTGAGCTCAAATAACTCATATTTAACCCTCTCAGGCTCAAATTAAACTTTTTGTTGCTAATGCACAACCAAGTCCTGCAGTGGTACTCCTGAGTAAAAAAACCCTCATAAAATATGTATGTGGGGTAATCAGGTTGTTAGTTTTTAACTGTTGCAAATCGGCAACGCCTGCCTCGAAAGGGTTAAGAAATGTTCAGCACACGTTTCTCACGTCGTCTTAAGCGAACTGTTGTGAAGACTTCCTCAATGTAGGCCTCGTCTTCCTGTTTTTAACCTTTTGTAAAAATCAGCCTCCTCTTCTAAAACAAGTCTTAATGTGCTCCAAATCGTTCACACCCCAGGTTCATGATTTTCTCCTTAAGCTTTTTATATCTTTGGAAACCCCACGTTTTAAAACGTTCACTGACAAACAAATTTGTAACTTTCCGACATGCTCCCTTTACAAAACATGCATCAGTGCTTGAATGACAAATGAGAAACACTTTAAAGTGACATGTAAACAGCGTTTTTAGTGTCACTGCAAACACACACACACTCTGAAGGCTGCTGAACTTTAATCTGAAAAACAGTTGTTTTTGTTCTCAAAGTTTTTTTGTGAAATATTTACTCAGAACAAAATTTTAATAAAGATACTCAGTCCTGCCCAAAACATCTCACCTTTTCCAAATATTCACTTTCTAATAAACAACATTATTTTTTCCAAAACAGCCTCGTCCTCACTTTTTAAACATGTGAACGTCTGAAAATGTCTGAGGTGTGTCCCCGCAGAAAGGGGACATTAACCTGCAAATAAGCATGAAAGTGGACATGCAGTCACGCACTCACAGGACTCATGCATCAGGAATAATGATGTATAAATATCGACCACCAGTTCTCTGTGTGTGTGTGTGTGTGTGTGTGTGTGTGTGTGTGTGTGTGTGTGTGTGTGTGTGTGTGTCCCTGATGCAATCCACATCCCTCCTGGTCAAACTGGAGCGTTTTAATCCAGAGGAACAGAGCCAGGATCGGGATCAATAATGCAGAAGTGGTCGTTATCCTAAAAGTATGGTCCCCCAGGGTGTGTGTGTGTGTGTGTGTGTGTGTGTGCAGGGTGGAGGTCTGTTTTGACTATAAAGGTGGATGAGGTAGCAGTAGGTCATCGCAGGAAAAAAGAAAAGAGGAGGAGGAGGGGTGAGGACACACACCCGTGTGCTTTTAGTGGAGTTCATTTACAACAACCAGGGTATTACAAAAACCACACACACATTTCTGCTTCTGTCTCTGTGAGGGCCCTCTTTGAAATAAAGGAGTCCCATCACGGTGAAAATCAGGCAGAGTCAAACCCGAGCCCTCAAACCCGCACTGATGCCCTCTCCTTCCAAAAACGTCCCCATAAGGACGTGGGTCCCCGCAAACACCCATATACGAGTACAATCGCACACCTAGCCCTACTCACAGCGGTCATCCGTCATCCAGACTCTGACACGACAGCTCTGCGGGGGCGAGGAGGAGGGAGAGTGGAGGATGAGGAGGGGGGCTTCATCCTGGGGCGCCACCCGCCATCTGGCAGGGAATTCTGGGAAGGCCAGAGGAGGCTGAGACCACCAAAAGGGGAGGTGGTGGGAGGTGTGAATGGTTGGAGGCCATGTTTGACTTTATTACTGGTGCAGACTGTGGATAGGCAGAGGGGGGTGACAAAATAAAAGGAACACCTGGACACATCTAAATATCAGGTGATCAGATTGAAGCTGAACCGGATGTACGGCAGGAAAGCGATGAATGCTAGTATACAGACTAAACTAGTTTAAATGGTTGGGGGGGAGGTGGGGGGGGGGGGTTGCTTTTGCATTTGCTGCCATCTATATCGGTTCGGCTCACGGGGGCAGCAGAGATGCCCGGCCGCCTTCTCCAGCTCTTCTGGAGAAACATGGAGACATTCCCAGACCAGCCGAGAGATGTGATCTCTCCTTCATGTCCTGAGGTCTTCTCCCTGTAGGACATGCCTGAAACACCTCACTGACGAGGTCTCAAAGAGGAGTCTTGGGTAGATACTGAAGCACCTCAACTGCCTCCTTTTTGGAGTCCCTGACAAATGACTGAGCTCCTCACTGTCTGAGGCTTCGGAGGAAGCTCATTTCAACCACTGATATCTGCAGTTTAACTTTTAGGTTCCTGCCCACTGCTTCTAGCCTTAGAGGTAGTTCGACTAGTTCGACCAGCTCTCTCTTCACCACAGGTCTCAGGAGGCAGAGCTGGTGATTCGATCCCTGGCTGCTCCAGTCTGCATGCCAAATACCTTTTGGGCAAGATACTACCCAACGTTGCTCTCTGATGCGTCCATTGGAGTGTGACTGTATGTGAATTTTAAGTAGAAAGTGCTTGTGTGAATGCGACGTGTTGTTTATAGTACTTTGAGTTCTCCAATAGAGTCGAGAAGTGCTTTATTAGAACTAGTTCATTTATCATTTACCACAAAGGCCCAGTAATTCGTTCCCATCACTGCAGATGCTGTGACAATCTCCCGCCTTCCCTCGCTCGTGAATAAGACTCTGAGGTACTTGAACTCTCCCACAGTAGGCTCCAGGGTAGGGTGCCCAGTTCACCTCTGACCACCACCCAGTGGGGTCCTTCAAGGTCTGATCCCCAGTTGCTAAAACTGGTTCCCAGCTGGTTTTATTCAGTTCAGAGTCTGGATGATGCTGCGGTTAAATCTCCTTAAGCCCAGTTTTAACTTTTGAATGTGAAAACTGGTTACCTCATAAGCAGATATATTTTGACAGAGTTTGGTTCTTTTAACTAGTTTAACTCGTTTAACATATTCAGCTAAAATGCATCAATCACAATGAGCTGATTTGTCTTGTTTTGTTTAACAGTTGTTTACCCATTTGCAGATTTGTACTCTGTGGGAGGAAAAATAAATGAGATTGTAGGCCGTACGATTTCATGTGATGAGTTTTAAGGAGATGAGTTCTCTGTCGTAATCAGCTGTTTGCTTCTGTCCCATCAGCCCATCCTGTATGAAGGACAGGACAAGAACCCGGAGATGTGTCGCGTCCTCCTCACCCACGAGATCATGTGCAGGTAAGATAAAAAAACAGATGTGCTGTCTGTTCACCGATTCAGCGCTTGGCTCAGCGGCACTTTGGCAGGAGAGCAGGTGGCAGTTTCTGTCAAACCTGTGACTTTTTAATTTGTGTTTTTGTTCAGGCTGAAGCATGGTTTAATAACAGTGCAGTGTAATTATCTCCCTGCAGTGTGTGTGTGTGTGGAGTGTTAATTATGCTTGCAGAGGAAGTGCGTGGTTGTTAGATTGTGATATTTAAACCAAAAGATGATTGGATAATGGAGAAGTTTAGATGTGAAGAAGAGTTTTTGTCTCTGAGAGAAGAAGGTGTTTAAAATGTAAATAACTGATCAAATTTAAACAACTGAATAACAGAATTTTGTAGGTGTGTCCAAAAACAAAGAAACCGATAGAAGCCGGCCAATCACAAATAAGCAGGCTTAATGAGACGGGAGCTAAAAAGTCTTGTTTCAGAGAGGGTGGGGGTGTAAAGAGAGTACAGTAGAATATAAATAAGGATTATTTTTGAAATGTGAATCATGCAAAGCTGCTCTAAAAGAGTCCAAGAAGGAAAATAAAAAGCTGGAAGTCATTATTATTGTCGATTAGTTTTGGGTATAATTTCTATGGAATGATGTATTCATTTTTTGTTATATGTTAGATTAAATTCTTCAGAGGAAATGAAAACACTCAACTTTGGGAATGTTAAGCGTTAATCTTTTGGAGGCCTCTCCAAGCCCAGAGTTTGAGCGGTGTATGTGCTTCTTCTAGGACAAATATCATCGTCAGATTTTGTGAACACGTTAGTCAGTTCATTAAGTTAATCAGAAAAGACTAATTTTGCTATAAAAATGTCCAGACACCTTTTCCAGGGTCCAAGCAGTTTTCTGGCAATTTCATCTTCGCTTAAAATTCTATAAATAAATTCGTTACTAAAAATATTAGAAAATTTGTCTCTCAATGTGAATCTGTCATTAAAAATGATATATTGTTATTTACATTTAGAACACATTATTTATCTGCCTTTATTTAAACATGCAGCCTTAGGGCCTGGTTTTAAAAAAATGCGGCAAGATTTGAACACAATCCCGAAATAGTGTTGTTAATTTTACAGGTGATTCACAAAAGTTGAGCTGTTTTTCAAAATGAGCTTAGTCGGTTCAGTGTCAGGCATCAAAACAAAAACAAAAAAAACGAATTTAACACTTGAGAAATGCTGCAGATTGCAAAGCGCATGAAAACATGGCCTAATGATCAGATGTTTGTCTTTGGTCGGTGACAACTTTCTTATTGTGTGACCGTTACTCGGTTAGCTGTAAGTTGGCTAGTTGTGCTAGGCTAATGTTTGAGTTGCAGGAGAGTTGCTTGTGTTATTGATAATATGTATTTGTACATGTCTGTGCACTCACCTCTGAGTCCCACTGTCCATGGGGGGGCGTCACCCACTGAAACAGACTGGCGGAGGTGGCACAGAAGCTTTCTGACTTAATTTGTTTCTCCATCTAATAAATAAACCTCTGTTAGATAAAAATGCACTATGCCCAAAATCCAATCACCTGTCTAACCTCGAAAAACAGCATTAAAATTCAACCATTTTCAATGATTTCAAGCTCCTGTGTGAGCCCTGTATATAATACAGGTCTATAATAAAATTTGTATTTGTTTGGGTGTCGTTTTCTTGGACGTTGTGAAATTCATGTTACTTTTACACAGTGAGGGCATTTAAAAATGTTTTACAAGATGTAGATTTGATGATGGTTTTACATCAGAATTTAGTTTCACTTTTACATTTTTATTTGAATTCTTAATTATCTTCACATTTTAATCTGTACCTGAATTGTAAATCTTAAATTTTGTGTATGGATTTGGTTTCCGTTGTGTTTTCTAGTTTCTGCTTTCATTCTAGTGGCAGCTTTGTGCCTGAATATATTTTCATTTCTTCCCTTTTTGAGGTATTTTGTAACTTTAAAGGTACTCCTGTACGGCTTTTCGTTATTCGAGGTTGTATTGATAAAGTGTGTGTGTACATTTGTTGGCCTGAACGCTCTGTGTGTGTTTTTGTGAGAGGAAAAAAGAGCAGCTGTTGGGTTGTTGTTCATCACACCAATCAACACGTTTCCTGCCCTGCGTGTCTCTGCTGTCGTCTGTGAGTTAATGGTTTTACTGGTTCAGACCGAGGAGTGAAGGAGTGAAGAACAACCATAGTGTGTGTGTGTAGCATGGTGAAAATAGGACACACAAACACACAAATATATAAATACAACTGAATCTGAAGTGTCAGTTGGAGCTCCAGCAGCCTGTTTCTCCATATGTAGGAAAAAAAACATCATTTTTGATGGTTTATATTTATTTATCGCTCATCTGTTTGTTTCCCAGTGTGAATAAACTGGTTAATGTGGACATTATATCCTTTTATAACTTTTTAGGGGCAGTGAATTGGTGAATGAATGAAGAAATTAGTTTACATGTTAACTAGTCTGTTTGTAGAGTTAACTGGTTTAGGTGCACTACAATAAACTGGCTCATCTGGGATAAACTGAGCCAAATGTGTTCCACAAGCTGGTTTACATTAAAACAATAAAGGGAATAGATTGGATTCATTGTTTTATTGAATTAGTACATGCAGTATATTTGGAGTTAACTGGATTGTCAGTGTATAATTTTGTATAAATCTGGCTGTATTAACTGACTTAGGCCTTAGTGCCAAGGACCTGGAGACCAGTCACTGATAGGTAAAACTTGCCTAAATGGCTGGAGAGCGGTTGCTGGGGTTAATGATTGTTACATCTTTAGGGAAAAAACCTTGAAGGGAAACTCTTTCTGTTTCCACTTTTCACAGCTTCACCAGCTTGGTGAGTATTTTGTGAATGTCTGCAGAGAAGTTTGTGTCTTCCATGCAAACTATGGATGACTGCAGCTTTCTGCTGGCAACCAAAGCGAGGTTTTTGGTGCAGGACCCTCTTAGCGACTGACTGCCAGCAACCTCCAGTCACCACTTGCCAGCCGGGAATGCACATTTTTCCTATCACTTGGTTGCCAGGGTGCCTGATTAGGCTACAGACCTTGGTGACTGAGATTATGAGTTTGCTGCAGTATACAGTAATAGTCCAGTAACGTTGTAATCTGCTCAGTAAACTGGACCAAATGTACAGCGAGTCAGTTTACATAGTAACAACTTTGTATGAACCTGAACAGTTTTTTTCAAAATTTTTAAATTAAGTAATCACTCAGTTCATGTTTGCATAAAATTTTAGCCATCATAACATTTGAATAAATTGGTGCATATTTGGAGTAAAATAGTTGGTGTAAATCTGGAAAAGACGGGCCTAGCTACCTAGGTGTGCAGTTTTGGAGGTGGACATTAAACTGAGTTATCTATAAAATAAAAAGAGCCAAATGTGCAAAAAGTTTATCTAGAAGTGGTTTGAGAAACTGATAACTTTAAAATCAGTTTAAATATGTGGTAAATTGGGTTAAATTGGGTGCACACTGTTAAGATGTTTAAAAAATAGGTAAAAAATGGTGTAAACCTTAATGTAAAGTGTACACATGTGTGGTGAGTTGGTGCAAATCTGAAAATAAAATTGACAATGTTAACCTGATAGAGTGTGTATAGTAATCTGGGTCATCTTTAGAGTAATCTGGGTCATCTTTAGAGTAAACTGGGCAAAACCAGCAACAGCTCAGAGTGGAACTTGTTTAAATGTTTAGTAGACTGATTTTCAAACTGTTAAGATGTTATTAAAAAGTTAAAAATGGAATAAACAGGTTTAAATGTTTGTTGGATTGGTTTACACAGTGAGCAGAAAACTCAGTTTGTACCATTCAGTTGAACTTGAAGCAGTTAAAACAAGAACAGGTCTGACATTTTCGACCTTGCATCCGCCTCCTGCTCTGCCGTTTATCTCTCCCGCTTTTTCAGCCAGACTTGAGTATCTGTGAACTTCCCTTTTGCTCTCACTTTTTATCGAGCTCACTTCCCCCTGCGAGATTCCGTCGATACGAGCTTCATTTCCATAACGACGGCTGGCTGTCGGCGTCTCTGAGCTTCAGTCATTATGTGATTGAGTGCGATTATTAACCAGCTTTCCCCCTGATGGATGTTGTGTTTCCATTCACTAATGAGTGAGGCATCAGAGACTGCCTCGCTGTTTCTAACACGCGCTCCGTGTTTCTCTGCCTCCATGGCCCCAGGTGAGGTCGTCTTTATGGGCGTCCCCATTGGTTTGTCTACCTGGATGCTGCACCTTTGGGTGTAGCACCTGCTGCAGGATGTTACCCTCTAATGTTTTTTTTAAATAGAGACATTCTCTGGGTTTCTTCGGGTCTTAAAGTAGTTAGGTTTTCTAGGAAAACCTGAAAACCTGAAAAGACATGAAATAGTCAGTATTTACATTAAACTGAGCTTGTTTTAGACCTTAAAAGTCTGATATCTAGTCATTCTTTTCCCCCCCCTCATAAATCTTGAAGAATGCAGCAAAAATGAAAGAAATGAATGCCCTTGGTAGTGAATTCTAGGCCTCATCATCCTACTTTTTGCTGATATCCTTCTCATGTTGGTCAGTATGTTGATGAAACTGGTATTAGATCTGATTTGAGCCTATGTTTAGGTTTTAAACCTGCCTAAAACTCTGAAAAAGAAACATTATGCTCTCACTGCTTGAGTTGTTGGTTACTAACAGATTTATATTTTATATACATTTAACAGTCATGTAGAAAAAAACCTTTTTCATGCACTTTAATCATACAAGAACCACCGAACTCAGAAATTGTCACTGAGATAGTGACAGTGACAGAGCATCACTCTGTCCAGTTACGCGCTACACTAATGGCGTCACAGCTTTGTTATTCAAGCATGAAAACAAATCCCAGCCTAAGTAACTGAATGTTTTAGTCCCTTCATCCTGTAAACCTGGAGAACATCCAGCCAGGATGCTACAGCATCAGTGCAAAATACAGCACATGTGCAGCGGATGCACTAATTTGAAGAAAGTACATGTAAATGTTAAAATGAGGG